TGTCGCCCGATCGATTTTTCTAAACCAATCGGACGTGTTGTTGATATCATGTGATGCATCATGTGATCATGTGATTCCGTCGAGTGGCGTACGCGTACGCTCTCAAATTCGCTACGTGTGCCCCTTCGTGATCGGGCGATTAAATTCGCTGGCGATTTTAATCGCCGCGATCGGGCGATAAAATACGCTCGTGTGCCCGCCCATAGCATAAGGTTAGCACGGGTTGGTTGCGCGCAGGCCAGGAATACGTGGCAAGCGTGCATGTTGACTACATGTGATACGTTCGTGACGATCGAGTCCAGAAGTTTCTCGCGTAGCCCCATACCATATATGAGGCTTGGAAATTCCCCAGTGAGATAGATGCTTTCTAGTTCAGTAAATTTCCACTAGTTTCCATCATGGCAGCACAGTCCAGTGCCCAATAATTTACGTCATAGTGTACCACTTAGACATAAATTAGTTAACGAATCAAAGAGCAGAGAAAATTCAGGGTCTGACCAATGGTCAGACATGGGGGAGGGGCTGATTTATTTTGAGTAGTATATAATCGCATGCAGAGCGTCGGAGAGACAAGTTTTACAGTTACAGTAGTACTTTAAACTATATTACCTATATAACAGATTCTTCCTATGACAAATATTGTTGTGTGTGTTGTGCGCATCATAGGAGTTTAGGAGTGCTATTATGAACGCAAGCAGGGAATTTCAGCTGTAACGACTCGCAAACTTTGTGTCATAGGAGATCGAGCGTATATGCGTATGTCGTATTTGTCATAGATGCTAGCAGAACATATTGGCAGACCGTATCAGGCCGTGAATGTTCTCGCTAACACGGGGAGGGGGGGGGCAATAATGTGCGAAATTTCGCTTTGCGTGCGCTATTTCCAATTCAGTATATATTTTACAGTAATATTTTTACCCAACAACCCCCCTCCCTCACCGCCACTGCGACTATTATGTACTATCATCACAGTCTGGGACTGAATAGCGGCACAATATTTGCATTCAAGTCTGACAACCGGTAGACAGCTAACAAAGCAAACAGCGGCGGCGGCGGCGGCGGCGGCGGCGGCGGCGGATTTTCGTTGAGTAATTTGACTCATGCGTCATTTTACTTGAGTAAAATAACCTACGTGTGCGCCGGGCTTAATGGAGATGTAATAAAAATACCTTGGTCAGTGCATACATCTCACCCGAAAATACCCGCTCGCAACGTATATGCGGCTGCATGTCCATCATTCATTATTGAAAGAACTAGCATTTTCCCGACGTTATATATACTGTTAACCCAGAATACGAATACCCATCAGTAGCTCGACATGAACGATCTCCGCAGCACCCCAGATTGAGAAACACTGCTATAGGAATCTGTAGCTCAACCCTACGACTGTTTCACATCGTAGGAGAGAGACTAGCTGTTTCACGTCGTCGTTCATAAGTGTTTTACGACTATTTTACGACTGTTTTACGGCTGTTTTACGTAGCGGTGTAACATATGATTTACAGATGTTGCATGAATTAGTCAGCGGAACTTGACTAGGGGTGGTTTTAGTGGTAGTCATTGTAGACAGAGCGACGCGCATCTTGTGTGGCTATATTGATGTTATAGGGAGAATGGAATATGGTAAACGTGTTTTAGGTCGGGCGTTTCTAGGGTCATTGTGAAATGGGGGTTGGACGCGGTCTGGGAGAACTGGTACAGATTACAGACAGCGTACACAATTTTTGTGCGCTCAGGATGTAGGGGTTTTGGGTGTAATATATAGGACAGAGATGTATAGGACAGAGTGGAGAGTCTGGTTGTGGAGACGGGAGTGAGCGGACGCGCTTACGCGCGTGTGCGCGTTGCTTTGTTCCTGTGTGCAAGGAGATGTGACGTGAACAGATATTATACAGATAACGCACGGACCGGCGTGCATCAGTGTAAATGCAGAGCGGCGCGAGGTATCTTTAGACTGGTGCGCACAAGCGGCTCGTGCGCCGTGCGCACCAGTCTAAAGATACCGAGCGCCGCGCTGCATTTACATTGATCGCACAACAGGCCAAGTGCGTTATCTGTTTTATAAAATTGCGACATACACAATTAATTGAAAATAAATAGTAAGTCTAGATCACGAAAATTTATTTCAATTCCGAACGTCAAAACAAACACATTGACAGTTTAGTAAATTGCTTCACACACTAACAATTTAACAGTATGTCTAGATAAACAGTCTAGATAAATAGTCTAGAAGATAAATAGTAAGGCTAGATCTAGAAAATTTATTCCAGTCCCGAAAGTCAAAAACAAACACATTTACAGTTGATTATATTGCGACACACACTAACAATTTAACAGTAAGTCTAGATAAACAGTCTAGATAAATAGTCTAGCAAATCAATAGTTAATTTCGAAAGTCAAAACAAACACGTTTACAGTTGATTTTGATGCTTAATTATTGTAAATGTTAACATAATCGCGAGCGTGCAATATAACTGTTTTTGCGCGGTTTTTTTACACGGTTTGGCGTGCATTATAACAACAACGGCGTGTCACGTGACGCGTTTTGACCAATCATGATGCATAAAATATCCGAGCCATTTTATAATAAGTTTATGCAGTTCAAGACACAAGTTTGGATTTCTACTGCATCATTTATACATGAACGTTTAATTCAACGTTACATTTTCAACAAACAGACAACAAACAAACAAACAAAGGATCAGGAAAGGGAATGTAGCTTGTGGCTATAGGAATCTATAGAAGATCCAAAAAAGGGAACTACGGAGGAAAGCTAGCTGTCATCGCTATATATTATCATAAAGGTGTGAGAATTAAAGCCGCACTATGCGCATCCAAACGCTAATTTCTCCAGTACTAGACTAGCAAATACTTCGTGTCATGCATAATCACACTACCTTATGACAAAAGAAACTCTAGTTCCTCCCATTTCACTGCGCGTTGTCTTATAAAAGGCATTTGAAAATACCTCCAATGTTGTTCAAATTCTCCGATGTTGTTGACACTTTCGCGTTACTCTGCCAAGCAACCGTGGAGCGGTGCTGCGGTACAGCGGTACGGGTGTAGAACGATAAAAACGTGACGTCACCTAACCGATTTTTAGCGAAATTGTTTGGCAAACAATTTAGCGTTGGCGCCAGATTACCAGATTTCGCACCTCTTTCTTGTAGGTTTTAAGCAAACGCGCACTGAAATGGAAGGAACTATAGAGTTTATTTTGCTATAAGGTAGTGTGATTATGCATGACACGAAGTATTTGCTAGTCTAGTACTGGATAAATTAGCGTTTGGATGCGCATAGTACGCCGTAGCGCGACTCTTGAGATATATGCCTGCAATGTCGATCGAGAGAAAGAGAGAGAGAGAGGGAGAGCGAGAGCGAGAAATGCTGAGAATTGCAGCCAATAGGAAGCGAATAATCTACGCGCGCAGAGCACTGCAGCTAGTGAGGGACCGACTATAAACCCGACGTGACGAGCACGCGCGCTCGGCGGGCGCGGCCTTGTAGCACACAGTATATATATTAGCACGGTTTATCGCTCGATCTCCCGATATACGGCGCACGGCTGCACACCGCGATCACGACCGTGCAGCACGCACGCCTAGTTAGCATCCCGTGTATAATCGTAGCGGTAGCGGCGTTCGTCTGATCAACTGAGATAGTGCTCGGGGTTAGAGAAGCAATGATGATGGCACGGCGGCAGCAGACGAGCGGACTCTTCGTGTACGCTGTGTACGCAGCCATCCTCAGCACGCTCACACGTGAGTAAATAAAAAATCGAATCAATTAGTGATCGAACGACACGTATAGTTTTCGTAGCACATTATACCCGTAACCCGTAACACGAAACGAGTGTATAGCATGGTCTCTCGAATCGAATCGTGGCGTAATTGGCGTGAGATCAGAATGTCCAGCTGTGCTATGTAGGTCACAGAAAAAGGGGGGGTAAAATGGCCGAGGCGCGGACAGGCACTTGGAACGTCTCAATAAAAAAAGGTAAATACTCTCTTTTATTCTTGTTGTTTGAGCACAGTGTGTGTGCAGTTAGATACAATAATGTAACCCAAACCCAAGAGGATAGGTCCCTTAGGGTCCCCTATAGGGTCCCCTATCCTCTTGGGTTTGGGTTACATTATTGTATCTAGTGTGCAGTGTGCACAGTACTTGTGTGTTGCAGATGAGCATTTGAACGGAATTTACAGCAAGTTATCGACAATAATAGGCGAAATAGAGTAGAGAAACATTAAGACTTTGGTAGTAAATACATTTCGTGTTTAATTACCTTTTTTTGTTTTATTGAGACGTTCCAAGTGCCTGTGGAGGGGGGCCACTCTTATCTCATCTCAATATGGCGGCGGGGACTTTCCGTTATGGCTTATACAGACAATACCAAATATTTGTCATTATATTGTCATTATTTTGTATTATTGTCATTATATTGTAATATTTGTCATTATACGCGCCTGACAATACGTATATTGCTGGTGTTGTATTGTATATTGAACCAGGAGCGCTTCTAGCCAGGCCTGTTTCTGCCTGTGTTCTGGCCTGGTGGTTCGTTGTTGTTTTGGTAATTGACGCGGGATGTACGGCACTATATATACGTAGCCCCACCGCGCACCCTAATGATTACAGACAATGCGCCACCAGTTAATATGTCACTAATAGTAGAAGCAGCGGGCGAGAAACTGGTTCGGATTGTATTGCGTCCGGGTTGTTGGATACTCTCCACCTTTTGCACGGGTATTGCTCTAGTGAAGATTAAACAATAATTGGCGAATGAATCGAATCAATCACTTGTTTTATTTATAGAGGAGACGTATCTCTATGCTCAAGCCAAAAAATTTCATGAAATTTCCAGCACCTAATTATTTTACCACACAAATTTAGAATTTTTATGTAAAAATGGTATTTTGGATATTTCTCAACTACCAGAAATAGTGAGGATGCAACATTTTTGCCACATGTTAAGCACAATATGGACCAAAATAGTGCGTCTGGATTTTTCTTAAATTTTCATATTTACCGAGAAAACTGGAAAAAAACTGCTTAAAAATCAAGTTGTATGTTAGAATTTAGCGAATAAAGAGGCATAACTAATAAAATACGGCATTTGATAACAATCCCTGACGAATTTCTTTACAGCAATATGTTACCATTAAAACGAGTGTAAAATTAAATTAATCCGAGTTGTAATCACAGAGAAATATCCATTTATACATCGGCTACTATGTCAGAAATCGAAACGGAGAAATCATCGTTTTTCCATTTTTCAAAATGAGTGACCGCCTGTGTGCAAAATGGGTGAACGTATGTGAAATATCTACTGTTAGTACTTACTGCGACATATCCATGACTAACTGACACCACTAAATTGGTAAAATGTTCCATGCACCTTGAGAAATTCTGAGAAATTACGAGGTTACCATCGCAGAACGCGCGAACTCCGCTCATCCTGACGTCACAAAGCTAATATGTCAACAAACGCGCGCCTTGTACCGCACTACAGTAAGATGTGTTGCGAGGTGTTAGAACTATTTTGGACGTGGTATACTTGTTGGATCACTAGCAGATGTACATGAATGTACATGAATACATGTAATGTAATGACAGCTGTAGCAGAGTTGACGCTGAATGATACTGGCTTAGTGAATATCGTGGTTGTATCATGTCTCTGACGTCATCATGACGTCAGCCGCTGCTTACTACACATGTACGCGGGCAATCAAATCGCTCTGACAGTTCACATGTACCGTTATATGAAGAAATTAGCATGTACGAAGGTGGCACATAGTGTTAGCCATCAAATAAAATTGAAAATGAAAAATCGGTAACATTTTGCCTAAAACCTTGAGAGTATCCTTAGACACGCTCGGACAGACAGATAGGAGTTACTGAGTTAATTACCTACCCAGGAGACGTACATGGTCATTCCTGTCAAGATGTAGAGACGAAAATAGAGATGACGGGACCTAGGCAACTGGCAAGGTCAACTAGGTTGCCGTATGTATATATTTTGTATGTGTTAGAGTTACTAATAAAGTCCTAGTTCAAAACGAATCTGCGACTATACGTCATCCTATCTACTGGTTGTCACAAGACTACGCTGCTAAAGATCCTGCACGGAGTTAATCACTTAAAATCACAGTACAATACTAGTTCCAAGCACCTTCGCGTATACATTCGCATGGGGAAACTGGTGTACCGGTATAAATGTCTCGTAATACGCGCAGACACTCTCTGCTAGTATATTTATTATCACCTTATATCACCTTTATTATCACTTTTGATGATAATCTGGCCAGCATATCCTACGGTAATAGATTTACGAGTAGCCATAAACAAATTATCAACAATAGCTTTAAACAATATTATTACCATATCAACGCATATATAGACGCAGCACATTTACAACCCCGTCTCAGCTGAACATAAAATAATGCCTATTAATTTACTGTCTTCAGTTCACGCAGAACAGCACGCTACCTGCTATTGTCCAAGGGGATAATCCCGGAGTTCAGACCAGCACCCATCGTTAGTCAACTATCTTAATTGACTATAACAATTAAAAGTCACGTTATGATTCACCCGTTGTCGCCGCATGTGCAATAGATCATAGAAAAATGCTTTTAGTTTTCATACGCAATCAGCCTCCGCATTTAATTTTTATAATTATAGTAATCTGCTGACAACCAGTTTGATCGTTGTGTAGCGCCGCTGCGCTCGTACCTATTAACTAGCATTCATTCATGGCTATTAATAAGGCGTTACGAATTCTCGTTTCCATACCTTGACTGAAACCACCAGGTTACAGTTGCACCACTTGCGCGTGTATGTGGCAGCACAAGCGGAACGGTGTAAGGTGACTTAAAGGGCCTTAAAGGGCCCTTAAAGGGTGACTTAAAGGGCCCTTACAGAGAAAATCATTCTAGCTGAATGTAAGCGAGACGTTGTATCACGAGTCTAATTATTTGTGTTCCCTTAAGCACAATGTACGGTGACGATGGGTTCCCAATTATCAAATATCAAGCACGTACGATATAACGACAGTGTAATTAATGAATCTGATCGTAATGTTTCCGGTTCCGGTTCGGTTCTGTTTGGTCCAGTTCGGTTCGGTTCAGTTCTGTTCTTCTTCGCGACATAATGCAACACAGACGGGTTCGCCTTTGCAGGGTAGTACGTGTTACGTGTCGGCCCAGCCTTGGAGGAATCATTCCGACATCAGACATTCATGACACACAACCTCAATTCGTATATAGGGGCGATTACTTGCGCTGAAAGGGTCTATGTCCCCCAGGGTACTGCCGGAACGTACCCTGGTAACTATCTAATATGCCGGACCGTACCTCGCCTACTCCACTAACGAGTCTAGGGAGTCGCCTACTCCCTAACCCTAACCCTAACCCTAACCCTAACCATATCAAATAGTTACTAGGGTACATTCCGGTATACCGGACCGTACACAGGGTACGTTCCGGCAGTACCCTGGGGGACATAGACCCTATGAACATTACTTGCGTATTTCCAGGTCGCTGTGGTGCGTAGCTACCCGCGAATGCTATACTTAGCAACGGGTTCAATACAAGCCTGAGACACGGCGCTTCCTTCGTGCTGCCGTATCATCCATCTCCTCCTCTATCGTCTGCGAAGGCGTTGATCAATCCCCGCTCAGTGTGCTGACGGCCGCTAGAAGGCAGCGCTCTCGCGAGAAATACGACAGCGTGAAAAGCGCGGATATCTCCCGGGTTCTCACTTTAGCTCGCAGCTAGTAGAATCTAGTAAACACACGTAGTCACGTACGTAGGATTAATGGATATAGTTGCTGAAAATAAGTTCCTGGGTGCTAGCAAACGTAGATCGTCGAACTATCCGGTTATAATGATACGTTTCTTCGCTCGAGGCCAGACGATATTTTTGCGAAATGGAAATATAAAAGAACCATTCGATTTATCGTCGAGAGCAAAAGTCGTACCGTACGTGTGAGTGTAAAAAAGCATCATTCTATATCACGTCGATTTTTTCCGTACTGCGAGCTACAAGGCCGTGTGAAATAACAGCAGTAAAAATTAAACCAGATCGGGCCGGTTTATTACACAGTATGCCTATAACTGCATGCGCGACTGCCCATGCACCGCGTTATATGTGCAGAACATTATTAACGCGATACTAAACAGCAGATATTGTGCACGTACAGCGGATACTATCGGGTAAGGGTTCAGTAATATCATTTGTATTCAGACGCTTGCTGGCCAGTAGTTTCTCGGTGCAATATAGCTATAACTAGCTTCGCGTAGTTGTAAATAAAAAAGGGTGTAAAGTTTAGCCGGCAGAGCGCGTCTGCGCTTATGAGTCACCGCTCAAAAACAAGTCACTCACTCGGTCTGTCCACCGGCCCGCAACTTTCTCACGTTTGACGCACCGCCGTTCGACCGTTAATTCCTCACTGACGACGCATAGATCTTCTGAGCGTGAATCTATATACGTTCCGAACTCAAGGACATTACAAGGTCAAGCAGTTGATAATTTACGCCGCACTTCTGCCTTTCTGGGACTCCTGCTGTAAACATCGTTATAATATCAGTGACTCTATTTCGCCTTCACGAGTTTTTGTGACGATTTATTTGACGTCCAGGTTCCATCTCGCGTCGTCGTTTGGGACTGCCTTCACTTATGGTCATTAAGAACGTTGAGGCCTTGAACGTTGTTCATTTGAACGTTGAACATCATTACATCTGTTGTTGACGGACGCACGTACGGGCGTCTGCACTAGTGTTCATCAATCACTGTATTCTACAAGCCGCGGTGCTTTTTAGGGTAGGTCTTTGATAGAGCTAAAACACAGGCTATATACGCTTGTGACCAAACGCTTGATTATACGGCCTCCGTGTCGCTGCATACATGGCAAAATGGCCATTTCTCATTGCATTTTACGAAAATATTTGTTTAAAAGAGATATTGTTAATGATAACGATATCACTGGTTGGCAGTACGTGGTTTGGATGTTCGTCCAAATTTCCGGCACAATTCATGAAAATGGCAACGAGATAAGAAGTTGATAACCAACAATTATAACCATCTCGATATTATTCCGATTCTACTAAACTAAAATCCAGATTAAATTGTCAATGATTTTACTATAAGGATAATTTATCGTTCGAGTAATCAATCTTCACTGTTGTAATTAAACAGTACTCGGTAGATTTCCGTCGTTGCAACTATTTGTGAGATTAACGTGTACGACAGGTAAGCGCCATTGTGTTTGCGTTAAGGACGACAGGTACGTGCGAGTGTCTCTTCCTTTTTGCATCCTCCACTCGCGCCCTCTCTCTCTCTCTTTGTTTTTTTCTCTCTCTCTCTCTCTCTTCCTCTCTCTTCCTCTCTCTCTCTCTCTCTCTCTCTCTCTCTCTCTCTCTCTCTCTCGTCTCTCTCTCTCTC